TGGCTTCAGATTTCAAAATATTTAAAATGACTTTTGAAATTGGAGCAGAACTATACTCCCCTCCCCTCCACCGATGTAACATAAATTAGCTCCCTTGGTGCCGCCAACATCTTTGCCTGGACTTCCTCCAGGATAAGGATCCTCGCCATCTCGACTGGTCCTGGACACGCACGGCAGTTCATTCATCCAGGCATATGCCAAAATTGTACACTGAGCTGCACATACGCATTACTACATTGTCAGGAAGATTATGGACAGGCAGGAAGAATCCTTTATTTACCTCCAAACTTCCTGAGATGAGAAAGGCCACCTTTCTAGTATAAAGGCAATGGACACTCCCCTGCCATGGAGACCAAAAAGCATTCACATGTAAATTATAAGGTTTTTGAAATTAGTGGAATTAAAACATTTTACTAGATCTTACATTTTTACATATCATCATTGGTGTAACCCCGCCAATAGTGTCACCCGGTGCGGGCCGCACCCCCCCTTGTGACACCACTGCCCCACACACACACACTGCTACCGCAGCAAAATATACTCACCAATATGGGCTCCATTTCCCTGCTCTGTTGGGACCCCTTCTCTGTTGCTCTCATTAAATGGTAATTCTACTTTTCCTGGGGAATTTGGGAAAATGGAATTACCCCCCTTCAATCTAGCCTCCTCTCCCCCCCTGCTGTACTCACCTTTGGCTGAACACTCCTTCCCCTCCAGCAGGTGGGAGAGAGGGGACCAGATTGGAAGGGGTAATTCCATTTTCCCAAATTCGCCTGGGAAAGTGGAATTACCTTTTAAACAGGGCTTCCATAGGTTCTATAATGGGGAAGTACCGTATGTGAACTCCCCATGTGACAGTTCTCAGGTCTGAGTGGCCATTCACCAGACCCAAACAATGGCTCATGAGTTGGGTCAATTATGTCATCCACCCAGGTCAGCTCTAACATCGGAGGTTATCCAAGTCCAATGTGGACTCCTGTAGAGGGAAAGTGGAGAGGGTGTGCGGATGAATAAATATACCTTCCCACAAGGCTGGGCCTGCATTAGCAAAGTGACAATGTCTCTCTGAAATCAGAGTGGTTCGGTACAAAGAACATTTGATGAAATTCCTGGAGCTGAATGTATAATGAAAGTCTGATGGAACACTTATTTCTTTGAGAAGGTTTGAAGATTGGACTAAAATGGCTTTAGAATCAGAGCAGCCAACTAGGCACATTTCCACAAAACCATTTTAACTTCGCATTAAAGGAGAGCTGATTGGAAATATGATTGGAAAGGACAATGGGAGGTAAGTGTAATGTATTGTGTTAATTTTACTAACCTCATTATATCCTTTCTGCCCGATGTATCCCTATAAAAAAGTGCCCAGAGAGCACAGTTACTGGAAGCTCATTGCACCCTGTCTATGCTTTCTACTTCCATTGTTGCTATTTTGTGAATGGAATTCGTCAATGCTATGACATTCTATAGGTACCACTGTTTCTAATATTAAAAATGTTGGATTACACCAGAAAGATGTTTCAGCATTAAAATGGCGAAGGTAAGGGTGATCACCTTTGCTGAAATTAAGTGACAGGGATGCTGACACCGCACATGGAAACCTGCTTGCAAACATAAAGATATCTCAGTGGATCAACGTAAACTACAATGAGCTGATGTGAAACAGTCAAAAGTGTTTAATGTAGACTAGCTTGATCCAGTTTGATTGCTTATGCAATTAAGAGCTTGTTAGAGTGCATGTAACACCTTTTTTTTTCATTTTTGAGTAGGGAAAAGTTCAAATCCCTATCATTTTACTGTTTGCTGTTTTATTGTGGAGACTTCCCGTCAGTTCCTGTTCCAGAGACGTGACAGGAAGTAAGAAGAAAAATTGTACAAGTAAAAGGTGTGACAATAATGAGACCTGATGAGCTGAGTAAGCCCTCGTTCACACCTGAACGTTTTGTAGCGCGTTCTACACTAGACGAACGCTCTACAAAACGCTCAAAAATATAAATCCCATTGTATTCAATGGTCTGGTTTGCGGTAAAAAAAAGTTGCGCGACAAACGCGCGTTTCCGAAGGCTACTTGGCTGGATCCCAATGGAAACGCGCAACAAAACGGCCCAAAGTAGTACATGTACCTTTTCAGGCGTGGGCTATTTTGTAGCGCATTAGGGACGGTCGCGCGACAGATGCAATACGCCTAGGTGTGAACGAGAGAAAGAGATGGGGCACTAAACATGGTGTCACCTTATTTGTTCCAAGATTTCAAGTCAGCAGTGATGTCATTGAGCCCATTAGCAATATATCTCTTAATCCAAGCAGAGCACTGTTAGCAGTCGTAAAACAACATTAAAGGGTTTCTAAAGCCTCAGCTTTTTTTGCATATATCTACTGCTAGCAAGCAGTAGATAGATATATGCAAAAAGTTTAACAAAAAAACAAAAACGCTTTAACAGCGATTTAAACCTGCCTGTGTGTTCCCTGCACGCTCCCGTCCGAAAATGTGAAACTGCACGGGGCGGCCGCAAAGCACCCTGGGGCGGGCGCATGCGCAGTTCACATTTTCGGCCAGGATGCGGGGAAAGACAGAAGGTAAGTCTATGGACGCGTGCATCCGCATGCAGACACCGTGGGAGAGTACGTGCCAGCAAGCTCAGAAGAGTCAGCGCAGGATCGGAGATTCGCCGCAGCGCTGGAGAGAAGGCTGAAAACTACAGGAAAGAAGAAGATGATCAGATTAAGAGACATCATTTAAGGTAAGTGCTTTCATTAACGTTGGGGTGAGGGAAATTTTGTTTTGCCTTTAATGTTACTTTAAGTAGAGACTTTTAATTATGCATGTTTGTGAGGTAAAGATGGCTCCCACGCATGCGTGTGGGCCTATGTTTCGTGTTGCTGGCAAACATGCTCTAGTGCGTAGATGCGTGCAACAGGAAGTGGGCGCAAAGACACGCAACCGGAATGGCACGGAAGGACGCACACGTCAGTCGCACAGGAAGCGATGCTGTCACTTTAATGGATTCGTCTATATAAACGAACCTGCCCTAACCAGGTTGCTGATGGTCTTCAGTTTGTGCTTCCTGTGACCTGTTGGACTTGCTGTTGCTCGTTTTTGACCCGAATTGCTTGCTGCCTGCCTCCTGACCTCGGCCTAATTACTGTACTCTGCCTTGCCTATCGATTTTCTACTATTCTGCCCTCCTGTTTTGACCTCTGGCTTCGTCTGACGATCCTGATCCTGAACTTCTAATGCTCGGTGTCCAGACCATCCACTGGCACTCGTGGTCATTGCTGTCCTCCGCACGCCCTGTTCCCACCTCCAGGGGTTGCAGGACAGGAGACGTAAGAGAAGCCTCCTCGTCCTACCGGTCTGCTAGGTCTGCTATGAACTGCTAGGTCATAAAAGAACCTTAACAGGCCTTAATTGGCCATTGCAAAGCCGTTCAGATCAATACACAGTTATGTGTGGCTACCTGACCTGGAGCTGCCCTATTCATACAGCCTAACGCTCAAAATCCAGACATATTCTGTTAACCTGTTAAGATAAAATTACAGCCATAACAAGTTTCTACTCACAGGTATAAGTCACTCACAATCATTTCAAGACCAAATACTCCTATTTTACAAGGTGCAGAAGGTGTACAATTTTGGATTTCCCATCATTTCTACCTAGCAGGGACACAGATAGGGTTGCCACCCGTACAACCCGGGTTTGGAATCATGTGCCCGGGTCTGTGGCCACCTCCCGCCCGGGCACATGATTCAAACATTACAATGCCGCATACCTGCATTTCTTGCGGCGGGCGAAGGACGGCGGGCGGAGGACGGCGGACGCTAGGTGGCGCTGTCTCCTGTTCCTCGACTCTCCCTCCTCTATTCCCTCCGCAGATGAAGTGGGAGGAAGTGACATCAGGGAGAGAGGAGAAAGCAGGTATTTATTAAATTTTTATCAAATGCAATATTAATTGGAAAGAGGGGGGGGGGGGAATCAGTATTGCACATTAAACATGCCCCCCAAAAAAATGTTTTGTGGGGGCATCTTTTATGTGCAATAGTACACATCTGCGCCGGGTCCCCTTCATCAGGCTCAGAAATAACATTACATAAAAGGGCCACAACTTTTATATGGACATAATAGAATATAATTTCTGAGCCTGATGAAGGGGACGCAGCGCAGCCCAGAAAGCGCTTATCTTAGGAATGACAACTACCAATCAAATGGATTTTTCAGTAACATGGGATCTTGGTGCCGGTGTGCTGGAGACATCTGTATTGTTGTTCTGTTGTGAGCAGCGCCATCCGCAGTCATTACCGGCACCCGTTACTTTTGGTATATGTGGTAAGAACTGCGGCAAGGTATATGGGTACTGCTTTGTACACTTATCTACAGAATGCATATCTGGGGACCTGCGGCACACTGGTAAGTTGTGATTAACTCAAATATCGTTTATTTACAAAATACATGCATAGTGTATACTTTACAAACAAATTGCCGTGAAGCACTATAGTGTTCGGGTTTGGCCTGAAGAAAAGGTGGCAACCCTAGACACAGACAACAATAAAAAAAAAATCTATTAGCCTTCCTGGACAGCATATGGGGGACAAAGGTTCCCACCACCAGGAGCGGAAACATGTAATTAAGTTAGAGGTTAAAAGTAGGTCCTTCTGTCATCCTCTTCAGAACTGTTTTGGTTGGACTGTGTTCATACTCAGCATGTCTGTAATTATCCTGATCATCGGCTTTTTACTTGCTATTGTCAGTCTGTGCTTCGTCTTCCTGCCTGAAACCAAGACTTTGTTTGGGATCCTAATTTGACCATCAGCCTGTTGACTCTGCTATTCTCTGCTGCTCTGAGCATCTGTCTGAAGACTTACATTACTCTAGCATTTGTCTCTTTCCCTTATGTAACATTGGTTTGAATATTGTTATTGTAGAAGGTCAACAATGCTCCCTTGGTTTGCATATTCCCTTTTACTACCTCGGTTAACACCAGTGTCTCATAATTGACTCCACGATGGCTGCCAGCTTCACACTAGCTCTTACCGCTCTCCAGGTTGTGGTTTTATTGTTGGGGATCGTCACCAATGGATTCATGCTTGGAGTTAATCTTTCAGACTGGAAGGGCTGCAGGTCCCTCACTGCTTCCGACTACTTCATATGTGCCGTTGGCTTTTCCAATCTCTCCCTTCAGATATGGTCAGGATTTGGCTGGTTTTGTGACCTTTTCTGGAACTTCGATGCATTCTGCCGATCTGCTTATGCCCTGAAAATGATTTCCATTCAGAGCAGTCTCACAGTATCAGGACTGCTTTGTGTGTTCTACTGCACCAGAATCCTGACCTTCAATCACACTTTATTTCGTGTTTGTCAGCGACACTTTCTGAAGTCCTACCGACAAATAATAATTATCTGCCATATTTTGTGCGTTGTGATGGGGTCGCCACTGTTCTTCATCGGGGAGAAGTACCAGGGCCAAAACAAGGACCTCCCTTTGGCCAACGACAGTTCTATCTACAGAGATACTCTAATGTATGAGGAACCCCTTTTTTTAGCATATCGTACTTTAGTTCTGGCTTTTGGGTATACCATTCCGTTGGCATTAACCATTGGATCCGCAAGTCTTATAATAACTTCTCTATTGCGCCACATGAATCGAATACGCGACACCTTGAATACGAAGAATGAGGCTTTCATAGATGCCCATCTCTGTGCTGGCTTCACCGTTCTCTCTCTTCTTGTGTTATTTGTTATGTATTTTATAACTGCCATTATTAATATCATTGAGATTTTCAAAGTAGGGGAGCCAGGCTCCATCATCTGTCAGCTAGTCTCTATGCTATATGCTCCAGCACATAGCGTTGTGCTAATTAGAGGCAATTCCAAACTCAAGAAAGCATCAGCTAATGTTTTAGAGAGGATGATGTGTGTTCTAAAGCCAAAGGGATGGATTAAAGAGAATACACCTGTCTATATAGCTCATCATTAAGGTTGGATGTGAGTGGAGGGGTGCACTTTTTCATACAGGTGTACTTTAATGGGCTATGCATGATTCCAACTTTTATTATTCCTATTATTATCTTTCTGCAGTCTCTTATTTTAATCAAAGCTGCAGACTAAAATGACTTTTGAAATGACATGAACATGTTGAAGCTTATATGAGATTTTAGCAATTGGGTTTACAATTACTATAACACTTGACCATATTATGTTATCATATATAATATTACCACCTATAGAATGACAGCAGAGCAGTAAAACCAGGTCCAGATTAGTAAAAAGCCCGAACCCTAAGGTTAGCTGCAAAGGTCACAAGAATGCTTTCATACTACGGATGAACCAATACCGTTTTTTCGGTATCAAGTACTGATATGTTTTTTTTTTGGTACTCGCCGATACCGATTCCAGCATTCCGAGGTACCATGAGCCTGGCTTATCAGGAAGCCATGACCTGCCTTCCGGCTTCCTGATTGCCTGGGAAGCTGGTGTTCTATCGAAAGAACACTGGCTTCACGCCCCCTTGCGACAGTGCAAGGCAGCCTGACTTCTAATCAGTAAGCCGGGCGGTTGGTCATGACCTGCCGCCCAGCTTTCTGGTTGGTCAGGAAGTCAGGCTGCCTCGCAGTGTCACTGGGCACCGTGAAGCTGGCTTCCTAGCCAATCAGGAAGCCAGGCGGCAGGTCATAACATGCCGCCTGGCTTCCTGATTGGTCAGGAAGCAAGGCTGCCTCGTAGGAAGCCGGCTTCCTAGCCAATCAGAAAGCTGGGTCATGCCCCGCCGCCCGGCTTCCTGTTTGGCCAGGAAGCTGGCTCCATGCTCCCTCATGGCAGTATCGGGGTAGGTATCGGAGCATTTGGGCGATTACGAGTACTCACCCAAATGCTCAGTATCGCCGCATCCCTATTGCAAACCAAACCCACGCTTATAGATAGACACAAGTCCAGCCATTCTCCAATGCGTCATATAAACCTGGGCCACTGAATGTAATGCTGGGTGCTGAATAGGGATCAGCATAAGCATAAGGATTTTAACAAAACTGATTTTGCCACCAAACTCCTGGCAATCAATTACATTTTAATGAAGTCTCTCAGTTTCACTCACTGAGCTGTTTAGGTGAAATTTGCTTGATCTACTCGTTTCCCTTTTTTAACTAGAGGGTTTTTTGTTTTGGGTGGGGGGTGTGATTAATGTGAAGCCATTTTCTGGCACATGAATAGGTCTAGGGTAATTCAAAGGAGCTTCTGTAACCCTTAAAGTCCAATGCACTCTTACAAAACACCTTATTTTGGCCTTCTCTATTGACTCCAATGCACTTCCTCAAACTAGTGAAGTTTTGCCTGTATCTGTAGCTCTCGTCCAACTGTGTCTGCCCCATATTGTCACTATTGTAAATTATGTTAAAAGTAATTAATTGCCATTGTTCACAGTAGAGTAGGGACCGGCCAGAGATGGATCACTTTTATGCAGTTGGACATGTAATGCGTGAGAACCAAGAATCCCTGCTAATGCAGAAGTTTGCTAGAAATATGTAAGGGTGTTATACGTGTATACACAGGTTCTGTTGAAAAATGATACCTTCCAGTTCCAGCTTTCCAAATTGAGGAAGGAACACCGTTCAGGATGTAAGGACATACCCCTGCCATGCAAACCGAGAAGAATATACAAAAAATAATTTGGCAACCCTACAAGTGCTTTTTGTCACTATTCATTTCACCTTATAGCTTTTCAAAATAAAATAGATAGAGGCTAATTGAAAGGTTTAGTGCAGTATAAGGCTAGGTTCACACCTGTGCGATTTACCGCACGGATATTGCGCAAAACACAGATTTGCATTGAAGTCAATGGAGGCTGTTCACACCTTTGCGGCTTGTCGCACAGATGAAATTGCCTGTCACGCTAAAAGGAACAACAGGAGCTATTTTCGGCCAGTTGTCCCGCGGTTTGTGTCCCATAGACATCTCTATGCATTGAAGACCACGCGACAACCGCACGGTTTTCAAAGAACAGTTGCGCAAATCAAAACGCGCAAAAACGGGTCACCGTTTTGACATGATTGTTTGTAATTTGACATGATACAGCGTTTTTGAAGGTTTAACAGAGGAGGAGCCTAGTTTTCTCTCAACGTTTCGCGCTTAGGGGCGCTTCTTCAGGAGAGGGAGGTTGTCATTCAAATGTGCAGCCCGGGGCGACTGTGCAACATGCTGGGGGCTCCACAGTGAGAGGAGGACGGACACCCCTCGGTTCTGGTCGGGGAAATAAGCAGTTCCAGGACTTTTGGCTACCCTCGATGCCTCAGTTTATGCTGCCGCAACTGGGATTCGTGGTCCGGGCCTCTCTCCCCTCATCTGCTTCGGTGACTGTGACCCAGGTGCTGTGCCTGGACGGCCCTGCAGAGATGCACACACACACTGACCCATTTGAATGACAACCTCCCTCTCCTGAAGAATATATACCACATCCATTACAGCGCCCCTAAGCGCAAAACTAGGCTCCTCCTCTGTTAAACCTTCAATAACGCTGTATCATGTCAAATTACCAACAATCATGTCTCTGTTAAGTCTGATTATCTAATCATGGTAATTATGTCTTCATGGCTTTCTATCATGCATTGTAATTCTATCAATCATGTTATTCACATATATATGAAGGACAGAACAGAAATGGAGTGAGCTTTTCAGTGAGATATACAATTTGTATATCTCCTTTATATTTCTCCTTTTTTATTTTCTCACCTACCTGCCTCAGTCAGTCCTCGCCTCGTGCCAGTCTGCCTCTTTCCGGATGTCCTGAGTGAGGTACCCGTCCGCACAGCCTCGCATCCTCCAGGGAAGCCCGTGACATGTCACACTATGCGGGGGCCGGGGGAGGAGCTACCTTTAGGATGCAATCGTGCAGATCACATAGGACAATACGTTATGGCATTGCCGTATGCGGCGCTGCCATAACGTATTATTCTATGCGATCTGATCGGCAATCTTCTGCGGGCAGATGGCTCAAGGGGCAGATGCTTCGGGCCCCACAACCTTTATTGGGCCCGGGGCAAGTGCCCTCTTTGCCCTGCTTTAAAGACGGCCCTGCACTGAGCAAAGGAGCAGACCTGGGAGAGAAACTTCTCTCTCAGGTCCGCTCCTCTGCTCAGTGGGCGGGTGCAATAGCCAGCCTGCTATTGCAATTCCAAAATTATAATTGAAAGAGTTTGCATTGCTATTATAACCGGTGTTGTCTCCCTGATATGCTAGAAAATGTCCAACTTGCTCTAGGCACAGGTGGGGTGCTTTGGGAATGTCAGGGTTGGTGTTAACACAGGAAGATATTTAAATAAGACTGTTCTCAGAGACAGAATGGAGCCGAACATGAAATGACTGTTTTTCATCTTCAAAGAGACTTCATCCAATCATTGTCCTGACAAAGATACGATTGTGTTCTTTCGACCGATCGTGGATTCCACATGCAAGTGAATGGGAGCAACTACGATAAAGATGCATAGGCAAAAGCCATCACAAGGACTTCACTGAGGAACTTTGACCAGAGGACCTCACTAGAAGAGAGGACAACACTAAACCACGACAAGAACTCATTTTCCTGAGACGCTTAATCGCCACCAAGTCCTGTTCAATACAAGATTTGTAGGCTAATCCCAACCACGGCTAAGTGACTTTAGTGTATGCTCTTATAGAAACCATTGCGTATGCCAGATAAGGGAATAGTGTATGCATGTGTACAGATGTATTGTAGCAGTCTGCATTTTGTATTGTTTTACCTGTAACAAAGTGATTTACGTACATGGCATTTGTTGTATATTAAAAGTACGCTAAATACTACTGGGTCAGTTTTTACTACAGGAATCAGATAAACAATAGCTGTAAATGTATGTTAGCATCCATAGCAGACCTGGTCATTGTCCTCTCTCACGGCATCATGTCACAAATGTTGATAATGGGAAATACTGCAGCCCACATGGTGGCCTGATTCTTTGGCTTGAAAACGAATGGTTTTGTTATGAACGTGAACCTTCAGGACTGGATTTGTTCTGTCCCTCTTACCACATCTGATTTTTATGTTCCCCATGGCACTGACTAATCCCCTCCAGTTCTGATTTGCTGCCAACTGAATGTGCGACCTGTCCAAAGATCAAAGTCACAATTACTTCTGGCACACAGTTTATGTTTTCTTTAGATGATCTCCAGCAACCTCTTGCTGACGGTATCCTTGTGCTTGTATTACTGCAATAGGTCCTGTCTCTGGTGGGCACAAAAACATACAAGCTTTTGTCCTTCTTTGCATCATTATGGCTCTTCCTTTGGCTTGGACTGGCGATGATGAAGAGAACAGTCCATGCAGCAGGTCTTTGGTGCTGTGTAACAAAACTTGAGTATTGTACTGAGCTCATTGTGTTTGGTTACATATTTCCTGTCACCTGTGTTCTACTGTCCACCTATCTTATATTGAAGTCCCTTGTAAAATATATGAGGAAGATGCATGTGACCATAAGAACGGGTCATGGAGTTCATATGGAAACCCAAGTTAAGGCCGGGTACACAGTGTTGATGCTCTTGCTTTGGTTCAGCATGTACTTTGTTCTTTCTCTGTTCCTCATAATGCAGTTGGCTCCAAAGGGAAGCCCAATCTACTATATCTGTTATATAATCCTATTGGTATATTCCCCTGTTCACAGCCTTGGTACGATCAATGGAAATGGGAAGCTACGACAAACTGCAGCAGGATTAATTAAAAAGTTGCTTTGGGTTAAGGGTTAAGCGATGTATCCTTACATATGCTATATGACGTTTATTTACAGATTTGTTTCATGTATATTGGGTTCTCTTGACAACAAGCAAATATCAGGACAAGGATCCTGTTCTCTGCATCTGGTCTCTTCGGGACTAGTGAAACTGGTGGAATTTCCATCAAACAATGGAGAAGAGTAATTCGATGCGCTGGTGCTTTGCATCTAATTGACGTGCTTTTTGACTCTGGCTCTGTTTCGCTTTCTGCCACTTTCCAAACTTTAGATCAGAAGTCAGCTTTTGCTATCATAGCCTTTACTGTCTATCAATCATTTAGTGTTAAAACTTTAGAAAACAAAAAAAAATGGTGGGAAAATCTATTGAAAGTGGCTCTGTGTATAGGTGTTTAGTATGGGGGAGTACTCATGAAAATGTCCAGTATCAGGACCGATACCCATGCATTCCTACTTAAATACTTCTATTATATTTATATCCCATATGTGGTTAGGAATTAATCTCTATCCCTGGACACATGATCGATGCGTCCAGGGACAATGATCTACAAATAAATGCCTGCAGGGATACGCAGGAATCCTTTTTTTTTTTTCCCCCTTTCTTTTAAACAAAGAAATGTACATTAATTACAAATAAGAATAACAAGCTTCTATGGACAATAGGACTCTGAAGAAGTAAAAAAAATAACTGAGGAATTGTAGGAGATCTTCACATAACTGCCCACACCTCCTCAAACGCCGAGCAGATCTTGGCGCAGGTGAGGGCGGCTGATAGAGGGTACTCGCTGATTGACACCGTGCGTTCTCCAAAATCTACGTTAACCTGAAAATAAAACAAAATGTTAAATATTTAGAGGAAAATATGTGTCCTGATTTAGGCATTTACCCTCAAACTTCAGTTGATGGTGTGCCGCTATCAAAGCAATTCGGCAAGTTCTATTTTGCAGGCGTATGGGTGAACCTTAAAGCGGTCCCTGAAGTAACATGCAAGACTGGCTTATTATGTCCGGGCCCCCTTTAAAAATCCCTATAGCAGGTCCAAAAATGCATGTAAAAGGCTAAATTAAAGTTCATATTTACCTTATCTCTGTCCTCAACCCGCAGCACCTAGGCAAGACATAATATATTTCCAGCGAGTTCCTGGGGAATAGGGAGCAGGCGAAGAAAAAACGCTCTTGCAAGGGAGAAGAGTGTTTTATGATATTTGTCCTGTCACTCCCCAGCGATGCGGAAGACGGGGGTTAGGCAAGTATACAATGAAACTTTTTGCTTTACAGGTACATTTTTGAATATACTATGGGCAGTGATTTTTAAAGTAGGAGGGGGCCAGAACATTGTAAGTCCATGCTGTACTGTTTGGGAGGGTTTTTTTTCTTTTCTTATTTGCAGTTCAGTTTTCCAAACACACATATATATATATATAAAAAATAATTAATTTTGTTTCAAGATCCATTTTGGAGCATGGGTCTATGTTGCAAACATGTAACAACCTACAGCAATGAGAACCAATTCTTAAAGCAGATCTAAACCCGATCACTAACAACTCAAATAGGCTTCAAAGAGACCCTGTAGCCAGGCTATTCTTTTCAACCACAATTTTTACTTAAAGGAGAAGTATGGGGTCAGTGTTTTCCCCCATAATTCTCCTAAGGGTCACGGGAGGACATATACTAGCGTCCTACCGTGATCCAAAGCTCAGTATATCGCGAGCTACAGCGGTATACCGAGACCGCCGCAGCCGGATCCCGACATTACTGTCGAGATCCACCCAGCTGCGTGAGTGACAGCTGGCTCTGCCTATCTAGAGGCAGAGCCATCTGTACCCGCCCCCTTCCCCGTCCGTTCCGCTGGTCAGCGCTGGAGGATCGTACAGGGGAAGAATGCCTGCAGGGAGCCGTGAGCCACCGCTCTCTGCAGGGACATGATTGAGAAGTGAGCGAGCGACGGTATGTGTTCGCTCACTTCCTGATCTATTGAGCCGACCTGTGACAGTTTCATTGTCACACATCGGCTCGAACTATGAGGCTGAGTGAAAAATCACTCACCTTATAGTTCTCCTTTAAGATTATATGTGCATTTGACATAATTTAGGCATTTATTTGTATTTACAGTCTCTTATTATACTGGTGTCACTCACCGATCCGTGGGCGAACGCTCCCACCACGATCATCATTGGCTCCTCTGAGGGTACGAGGTCTCGCACACAGGAAACACGCTCTCCCTGAAAGGAGGTGGTCACTTTCACACAGCCTACTGGAAGGTGATCCGTAATCGGATTCTTAATAACCTGGAAAGAAATATAGAACATTTGATACAAACTACATATTAAACAATACAAGGGCTCCCTATCAGACAACGGTAGAATCTTTTGTATACCTTTACACACGCACTCAGTGGCTTCTTAATCAGTCTAAGCTTTCCTCATTCCTTCTGGTCAGTAAGCTGCCCATCAAACTCATGGGACAATAGTACGGTGTGGCTAACCTCATAGCTCTGACACTACTCAGAAGTGTCAAAGCTTTGCCTGTCACAATGGCCCGATGTTTGCTTTGACGGGGAGATTTGGGGGGAATGCCGCAAGTATGTGCACCCCTAGGGGCCAGCACTTCATATCTGCAGAAATTTGCCCCAGCCACAGAGGATCTTGAAACTTTATTAAGCCACGTGATCCACAGAATGCAACAGGTCACAAACGCTTACAATATGCCTGCCCAAAAACATCATGGGATTCTTAAAGCACCATACCCTAGCCCAGGCCAAGCACTTCTAGTCCAAAAGGCACAATGTAAAGAACGGGAAAGTACTCTATACTTTATTTTTGGGGCAAAGGAATAGCATTATTGTAAAGGGTTCCCCCCACCCCACCCCGTACATTGTTAAGCGCAACTCTAGTTTTAATATTTAATAAGTAGCCCAGCGTTGTGAACAATAAAATCACCTTTCACCTCCTTGCCACTCTGAGTTCCAACACCAGAGCTCCTTTGGGTTGAACGACCTCCAGCATCATTCAACCCACTTACTGTGAGCCTAGGACAGGGGTAGGCAACCTTGGCTCTCCAGCTGTGCTGGAACTACAAATCCCATAAGGCATTGCAAGCCACAGGCATGACGGGATTTGTAGTTTCAGCACAGCTGGCGAGCCAAGGTTGCCTACGCCTGGCCTAGGATGACCATGGATCCGCCCCCCGGGGGCATCATCGACTCAGGCTGGGCACATAGTAGAATACTGCAGGGAATGGTGCTGAGGTCATAAAGTCAGCATTACCCCCTACAGGAGGAGGACTGCCAGATAAGCCAGAGGAGGTCATGTGACTGGCCAGGAGCCACAGTATTAAGAGAACTATGGGGTTAAGGCTTTTCCCCATAGTTCTCCTTAGGGTAATTAAAAGACCAACTCCTTCCAAAATGTGTTATTTCACTTTGGGAGCACAGGAAAGGTAAAGGTCAGACTTTTATTGGCATATGTGCCCACTTCCTGTCTGGGGAGGGGGTGATTGGAAATCTCTACTATGGGGACACAGAATAAAACAATGCTGTCTGTGGCCATCTGTGCCGATGACATCCGCACAATCCAATTCTTAGAAGGGTGTCACACAAAAAGCAGGAGCAAGGAATATCATCCCAATGGAAGTCACGTCACAGACATAAATATAAGCCGCCTCCTCCACCTAAAAATGTAGCTGGTCTGTACTTCCCTCCATGTACTGTATATATCCAACAATAATGTAATACAGACTTATTAATCTGATAGGTTTCTCATATTCCCCCCAATCCGGCCACTCAAAAAAACAAGAGGCAATCACAATTTATTATAAAATATTGTTATAACGTTTGGATTAATTTCGATATTATAATTAGGGATGCACCGATACAAGCATCGGTATCGGCCGCGATACCGAGTATTTGCATGAGTACTCGTACTCGTGCAAATACTCCAATACAAAAAACGAGTACCTGTTCCGTGTCCGCCATCTTCAGGGACCCAAAACCGCGGCACACAGGACCTCCATCACGTCTTCAGTTAAACAAGATGGCCGCGAACTCCTCCTCCAAGTCCTCAGTCATCTGCTCCATTCTGACCTCTTCTCCCGCTGATTGGCCGATTGGATGATTGACAGGCTTCCTCACCAGTCAGGAGTGACTGGTGAGGAAGCCTGTCATCCAATCGGCCAATCAGCGGGAGAAGAGGTCAGCATGGAGCAGATGGCTGGCGTGTGAGTTATGTCTGACTGGGAGGAGGAAGATAATGGACCCCCTGCAAGCCAGTCATGGGCACCCCCATCACAGGAGCACTATGACAGCCGGGATGAAGGCAGTTCTGCTCCGGGTCTGCCCCTGCAGATAGGCTCTGCCGGGAGTCGGAGGAGAGACCGGGGACACAGGCATCCTGGCAAGATCGGTGAGTGACAGTGTGTGTCTGTGTGTAGGAGAGACTGCTGTGTGTGCGCACAGCGATCCCATCTGCTTGTGATAGTGACTTCTTCACAGCCATTTTGCCATCTACTCTCATCACACCCTCTATTGACTGTTAGTGACAGATTATTGTATAGTGTGGCACAGCTATATCCAATTCTGCATACCTGGCTTTATATTATAATGTTCTTATAATATAAAGCCAGGTATGCAGAATTGGATATAGCTGTGCCACACTGTACAATGTTCTGGTCTGGACATGTGCTCATCTGTTTTTCGCACTATGGGGATACAAGCCTTAGTTAGCAATGGCATGATAAATATTCATTTCATGTTCATGTTCTTCATAATATTAAGAAACTGACCTAAAATCATGATTTTGTATTGCTTTAGAAAAAATGTGACATGTCCCTTTAAGAAAAAGTATCGGTACTCGTACTCGCCCTTAAAAGAGTGGTATCGGTGCATCCCTAATTATAATATATCTTGATTTAAAAGAAGAATTCAAAAAAAATTAACCCTTGCAGTGGGGCAACCCCCCGCACTACAAGGGTTACATGCTTGTTTTTCTCTAAGTGCCAGAATAAAGAAGATACAATCACCTGATTGGTCCTGCGGCAGTGACCGCTCACCTTCAGCCCCCCTCCCCCCTCCCTCCTCTGTTCTGGCATGTCGCTCCTCGTCATCATGTCTAATAGACCTGTATTTGACATCACAGGTCCTTAGACCACAGGGGCCCAGGGGACATGAGTCTGCAGGACTGAGGATCAGGTGGGAAAAAAACGAGCAGTTAACCCTTGCAGTGCAGTGTGGGGGTAGCCCCAATGCAAGGGTTCATTTCTACAATTCCTGGAGTAGTTCTTTAATGGAGTGGCAGAGAATAACTCGGGTCTGTCACTATTCCCATTGATAGGTTTCACTTTAATTCCAAAATGCTTCTTACCCATTAGTCCACAGAATCGGGGGAAGGTTCGTGGAATGCGTGTCTGCGGGTTCACCTCGATCAACACGTTGCGCTGGGTGTGGATATACACTTGTAACAATCCTGCCCGGTTAAGGGGGCTGTCTAGGAGCATCAACAAACACTGCAATGGAAATGAATAAGGCTTAAGTAATCTGCACAAGGAGAGAGAGCAGAAGCGAGCGGTCTTTATTAAAGGAGGGGGCGGAGACAAGACCGGTCACCCTCCACAAGGAGAGAGCGGCAGTGACCGGTCTATATTACAGAAGGGTGCAGAGACCAGACCTGTCACCCTCCACAAGGAGAGAGCGGCAATGACCGGTCTTTATTACAGGAGGGGGCAGAGACAAGACCGGTCACCCTCCACAAGGAGAGAGAGCAGCAGTGAGCGGTCTTTATTACAGGAGGGGGCAGAGACAAGACCGGTCACCCTCCACAAGGAGAGAGCGGCAGTGACCGGTCTATATTACAGAAGGGTGCAGAGACAAGACCGGTCACCCTCCACAAGGAGAGAGAGCGGCAGTGACCGGTCTTTATTACAGAAGGGTGCAGAGACAAGACCGGTCACCCTCCACAAGGAGAGACCAGCAGTGACCAGTCTTTATTACAGGAAGTCTCACACTGGATTACTGCACAGGTCTGGAGGAAATGCACAAAGCTCAGCACACACGACTCTTGTATGAGGACAATATTTACTTATCACAAAGTTCAGCTGTAAAATGAAATGCGAATAATAATAAGTCACCTGATGCGTGATATCTGGCCGGGCCTCTCCTGGGTCTCTCCCATTTTTCACCAACGTGGACTTGTGCTGATCACAATTTAGAAGTTCATATGTTTTTCCCGCCTAAAAGAAGACATGAGCAGAACATGACCACATGGGAAGAGCTCTGATAAAGTCCTTAGACGGGGCACCGGGTTGGGTGGGGCAGTGACATCATCAAGTTATGCGCCAACTGGAGTGTTGGGTTTTCTTATGCTGGTTGTTTTAGGATAAGCGCCAATTCATGCGAGTTCCCTGCAAGTAGTTGTGTCATTATAGAACTATGACCAGGTTCTACTTTTGTCCTATCCCACCTACGGAGAAGTCTTACAGTACAGAGACGTGGACGGAGGAGGCGATCACTGAAAGGAAAAGATATACAGAGCATTTTCACCCCCAGAACTCTGGCACCCAACCTATGGCCCAGGGGCCCTTATTGGCACTGGCATGGTCCCAGGGGTCCCTGCACACCATCTGTGTTTTTCTACTTCAACAGCCCGGTGGCTCCCGCGGGTACACACCTCAGACCGCCAGAGTCCCCCAGGAAGGCAGCTATAACCCCTGCTAGCTGGGAAAAACTCCACTGGAGTCGTCACAAAAGGAGGATGGTTGCCCTCTTGAAAGAGAGAAACCTCAGGGCCAATTCACCCCTAAGGGTAGGACAGGATGGGGACTACCCTAGGGATCTTGCCCCGGTATCTCCAAGACCACTGGCCGCAAAGGGAGGAGATACCAGAGCAGCAGGCCCCCTGCCACGTGCACGCAGGCCTCAGAAACAAACAAAAACATCCATTTCTGTAGTGCTCCCATGCTCCTGTTAGGCCGAGGAAACACAAAAAAATGAGGTAAGCTGGGGGCAAGTGCCCTTTTATTTGGTGTATGTGATGTGCTTCCTGTTTTAGGTGGGAGGAGACTATCTCTCAGATGCTGTCCTGGAAGATTACTTGGGAAAAGTATTTTTTTTAGACTTGTTGGTTTGGTTTATTTCCTTCATTGTATCTCACAGTTGTCTGTGCTGTCCATCTAATTTCATTGTGGATCTTGCTGAGGGAAATATTAAAAGGTGTCACAAGTAACGTTTCAGAGGACGGACCGTCTCCCGAAGCACGCCCCCAGTCCCCGACCCATCCCCAGTCCCTGACCGTCTCCCAAAGCACGCCCCCAGTCCCCGACCCATCCCCCAAAGCGCATCCCCGACCCTCTCCCAAAGCGCGTCGCCAGTCCTGAAGTACTTTCGCAGTCTCTGAGCATCTCCTGAAGCATGTCCGCAGTCTCTGAGAAGCTCCTTCTGTGCCACCCAGTCATATCTAAGCAGGGAATTCCCCCTCACCCATAGCTTGGCAAAGGGGCGGGATGCAGCAATGTCACTGCCCTTATATTGATACATGCTTAAATATGGTAAAATAACATTTACCTTATATGGCTCTGTGGCCATATAACGTAAATGGCATCACCACAAGCATCCCGCCCCTTTGTTTACATGCAGTTGCTGGGCTTTTCCTTTAACTCGAGTTCGGTCCAAACTGAAGCTCATCCATAATAACGGGTCAATAAGAGACTGACGGAATGTTAAAGCGGCCAGAGGGGGAAGATTAGATTTGCTTAATTTTCAGAGTGGTTCACTATGAACCATTGGAGCAGAAGATCTCTTCACATGCTGGCAGCTAGAATGGGACTTTCGGCGGTCCTGATGAAAAATCCAATCAGATTTCACCAAACTGAGCTCATATTTTGTTATGTTAATCTATATTTCTTGATTACAAAGTGATCTTACCATCAAGCATTGGCCATTGTCTGTATTACTTTGCACAACACCAGGCAGCTAAGGCTGGGTTCACACTGTTGTGCCCATTATTGCAACACATGACAACACATTTTGCACATTGGCGCACTGTTCCGCCATTGACACTTAATGGCTCCCCAACACACCTCACTGACCTTTGTTGATAAATATGCATGTGTTTCCATGGTGCAACAGTGTATACCTAGCTTACTGGGCCTGGCCGACCATTCAAGTTTGCCCTATTACTAGGAATATGGAAGGCAGGATCCGATTGGCTGTTAAGGACAAGTGGTTAATCCTGTATACCTAGGCCTTCTTTCTGGACTTCTGTATTATCCTGACAGTGCATTTATTAAGATAAAAGGGGCAATACAGAGCCCCTCCAACACCCAGACAGGATCTGAAAATCTGACAACAGCAGCTCCCCCGCAAAGACAGAGCCCGCTGGGCCTTGTGGTTCTCTTACCCTGACCGTCTCCAGGCTGGCCCCCTCCAGCAGCACGATCAGCCTCTTCTCCCTCTTCCGCTTTACTAGTGGTTGTGCCGGCTCCTCTTCATCCCTCGTGTGCTGCCTGCGCGCCGCCATCTTTGTTTCTTGTTGCTTCTCAGACACTTCCGGCTCTGGCGGCCATATTGCGGTTGGCATAAAGAGACAGGAAGCCGCCGGGCGCGGAACTCAGATGCCAAGTGACAGTGTCGGGCGGGACTGACAGCTGAGTGAGCACTTCCGGTGTCCTTCTACTGCCGGGGCTGAGACACAGGAGTGAGACACGTGATAGAAGAGAGCAGAGGTGAGCGCTGGGGGGACCCCGGGGCTGGGGTGGTTTATATGTGTGTTCTGTATGGGGGGGCAGAGGGGGTTTTAGGGAGACTTTGCAGACCGTATCAGTGTACATGTGTGTGTCCTCTG